TTTTTTGGATAATTTTATGAATGAAACAGAATGTGTGCAATCCAGAAATCCATGAAAAAATTTCGGACCATTTTTTATATGATCCGATGAAACCTTAGAAATATCGAACTACAACAGAGGTGTTCCAGTCTTGCAAGGAGTATCTAAACTAGAAAAGAGTGTAATATGCTGCTTCTTAACATCACAATTAATTTATAAATTTAATGCTAAAGTTTAGTTTTTAAATACACTGAAGACGAAAATTTGGACATTTTATTACATTTAAAAATGAAAAAAATCCTAAAATAAATCATCAAAATTCAAATTATTACCAATCCATACGATTGCCACTCTATCTTTCTATAATTCTCATTATTCAGCTTTTCGGATACCGCAAAGCAAAAAATGTATGAGAACGATTACATCCTCATAGTGATTCATTTCATGATTGTAGTATCACCTGAATGCTTTTCGTTTTCTTTTTTAAAGGTTACAATGTAAGATGACCCTCTACACATATCTAGTTATCCTGTATTTTATTGAATAGTTTGTGTTTCAATTAAAGTATTTCGGTTATGTTTGAAATAAAACCCAACATGCGGATGCCAATTTCTTGCTAAAAAAAGAAGTGAAAAATTCGAAATCTTGAAAAAAAAAACCGATATGAGAAATTCACGAAAATTTTTAACGAACTGATTTGAAGCTTCTCCTCTTCTCATTTTCAAGGAATGTAAGTCTGAAAACATGAGCCATCCTAACGGAAATGAAATATATTCATGCTGTGGAAATTACAACTCTTTCGATTTAAGACTTTTCACAGTATCATAGGGTAAAATAAAGATTTGAAGATTGCTTTTTCATTATTTCACAGAGCGTGAGGAATTCAATTTTCAGATAAAAGTCAAAACACTTATCAACATGAAAATGCAAAGTCATTTTTTAATAATATAGATCTAAAAGTTGACCCATGAATAGCAACAGTTACTTTCATATTTCGAAAACTTTGGATTAAAATAAATATCCTGATAATCATGAGGCTCAATTTTAATGCAGAATTTATTTGGCTAATTTTATCTTCTTACCTCTTACATCAACTTAAATCTAAATGTTCATCTCATCCGGAAACATTTTATCGTTGATATCCTGAAGACCATCAAAGATTTCTGTGGAAGGTAGCAGTTAATTTAAAAATATAAATTTCAGAGAGAAGTAGGAAAATTTTCTACAGCAAAGAAAGACAGCACTAAGGGTTGAACAAGTATGTTTATTTGCTTGACTTGCTACAACCTTCTTTTTAATTCCATTTTAAAAGTAAAAAAAAAACCAAAGTTTGTATGGCCTCTCATTGAGAACCTTTTTTCCTTGACTATCAAAATGAATTGAAAAATAAATGCATTTCTAAGTAAATATCCAATTTAACATTTGCTTTTTAAAATCTACTCTCTTAGAGAATACTGTGGACAGTTAAATTACATATTTGCAATGTTTCTCCCATTTCAAAAATGCAATCAAAAACAATTTCCTAGAAGAACCGTTTATGAAAAAAAAAAAAAATCATATCAAAAAAGCTTTGGTTCAAGTTCATGAATCGAACATATTTGTTTATTATAACTTGATGGATACTTCCTTATGATTCATTCAAGCTCGTATCCTATGCAGCCAAGTTCCTGCATGAATTAATGGTGCAGGATTATAATGCAGCTCAGCTTATCATTTACAAATGCAAGAAGTTACACATATTAAATGTACAAGTTCTTCGCAAATTCAATCTCATCATTTTCCCGCAAATATCAATTTTAATATTGTGGGAAATTAGCTCATCTTAACACGTCCCATTTTCACATTCAAAAATGTTTGTTTATCAAATCTGAAGCACTTGTGACAGCAAGTTACATTCAAGAATAAGATTATGTTTTTGTGATCACTACGGTACGGCAAAGATTTCACTGAGATGGATAGTAAGATATATACAGTAAAATTTGTCCGTATAATGCGGTCATTGGCTAAACCACCAAGATTTGTGCAATTTTCCTCGAGAAGCGGGAGTTTAAAACAACTCACTTATCAGATTTCTCATTAAATGCGGAATGCAGCAAATTGTGAAATTCTGCAAGGAAAAATCATCAGAGTGACGATTAAAACAGATAAATAAACTGACAATTTAGGGATTATGAATGGTACCAGTGGGATATCCCTCCACCGTTCCACCTTGATTGTACCACCCAAAATGATAGGAACCGAATAGTCTTCCACATCGCAATCAATATTAGAGGAAATGATCACCACCAAGGAAGTATACTTCTCAACAATCTCATAAACTGTATAGGTGGTCTTGTGCGGCAACATATCAGTTAAATGTGAAAAGCGTCGTGTGTGGTCAATTAGAGGTAGAGTGATCGTATCCTCTCTTCCACTTTTCCACCTTTTCTCACCATCTATTCTCTCACTTCTACTCTGAGATCATCCTCTTCACCAATTTGTATTTTTGTCCGAGAAAAAAAAAACCATTTATTCCCTATAAAAACTTCGAGACTTTCTCATCATCATAGGAGCAGCGGGAAAATCGCAATTAATAATTCTACCATCAAGGGATCGGATCCACATGATGGAAAGTTTCTGAAATTCCCCGGGATTTTCATACATCTTATCTCTAATAACTCATATAACACGTTATTTGGAACAAATTCTGAAAATATTCACATTATAAGGAATCATGTTGAGTTTGACATTATCTCATTTGCCCACTACCAGAATATATTTAGCAATAAAGAAATGTCAAATATAGTTATGACTTTGTACAGCGACATATTTCCACAACTGTCGTACACGATTATCCTATTTCAATATGATTACATCAATGTTTTACTGGATTGCTATCGGAAATCATCGAAAATGTTAATACTATCTTTGGTCGAAAAGTTTTGCAAAAATGCAAATCATTTCTGATGGATAATTTTCTTTCAAAAATTTCTCAGCATGCTTTTTTTCAACGTTTTGAAAAGTGTTCAGCATTACACACCACTACTGATCATCATAATAATACTTCCATATTTATATTTCATCCTTATTTATTTACTTCGCAGAGATTTTATTTTATTCTGTTTCAGAGATGACGAAATTTATGGTGCTGGGTTGCAGATCGATTATAAGGAGTTTGTTCAAAAAATCCAGAACTTTATTCAATTTTAATCCATTTTAAACGATTACTGGTTAAAACAACCCGTGATGGAGGAAATGGCTGTGGCGTAAAGCACAATTTCCCGATGCATTGCTTTGATTGAAAAAACAATTAGTAGAAATCTTGAAACGAAAGAAATTAGCATCTTTCATTAATCTCTTACACCATCCTGCTACATCTTCAGAATTTGCAGTACAAAGTTAAGCAAGGATTAGCTTAGCATGACGACTGGGAAAATTAGAAAGCATTTCGTTAGACTCGTTGAGATAACTGAAAATTTGTCCATTCATATCAATTTGTTCCAACTATCATGAAAAAATTTATGAAATGAGATTGCAAAGATCCTTAATTCCACTTTAACTATGTATGATTAATTTTGAATATTCAATGCGTTTAGTGACCAACAGAAACGGCTAACATGCGACTTTAATGTAAGACCATCGGACGCAGCGAAAAGCTTGGATATTTCCCAATATCTTCGAAAATCATCAATCAGTTACACATAAATTCAACAATTTGAAAGTTTTGGAAAGACTGAAACTTGAACCACATGAGTTGCTGATATTTGTTTATCCTATACACTGAAAACTGCTAATGCTCTACATAGTTTAACATAAGGGGTTTTTCTTCTAATCTGCTATCTAGTGATCAGATCCTCGGCACTCTACCTCCTATGAACAGCTCAGGGATGGGAAGTAGGTAACAAGTTATTCCAGGTGGTGATAGCACACTCCATATCGGATGTCACAGTATTTTTTTCTCGCGACTTGTATCGCCAACATGCCATTTGTCAACTTAATTTGTCCAATTCAAAAATCTTTGTGCAATTCATTGTATAGAAATCTCAGAGGCAACGAATCAATAATAATTAAACTTATGCAGTATCTAATTCAAACACAGTTCAATGGTCGTGTTGCTGTCAGGTGTGGATAATAATACGTAACTGTGGGCACCGGATATTTGTGCACATTTCGCAACCAGATTAAGATGAAACATATTACAATCAATTTA